TGATAAATCAGGACTGTAGGATATTTTTGTTGTTATATAGACTCCATAGTTGATCATTATTATTGATATGTGTATTTGTATTAGCCTCCTGTCATCTTTCTTAAGTTATTCCTTGTTATCTTTAGTTACTTGATTGATATATTAATTTGTTTTTGTTTGGTATTCTTTTTTAATTTTGATTTTATGTATTTTACTTATTATTACTACATTTATTTGTGAGAGGGAGAGTGGGAGGGAGGCATTGATTTCTTTTTCTTCTTCTTCTTCTTCTTATCTCTTATTCTAATGTAAAATTTTCCTCCATCTTTTCAGGAAGCATGGAAATCCACCAGAAGCTTGAATCGCTGGTCACTGAATTTTTAGGCGTCGAAGATGCCATCACCTTTGGGATGGGCTTTGCCACCAATGTGCTCAACCTGCCTTCCCTCCTTGGCCCAGGCTGCCTGGTCTTTTCCGATGAATTCAATCACGCGTCGCTCATCCTGGGACTTCGACTCTCAGGGGCAACTGTGAAAGTGAGCTTTATTTTCAAGTGGTTGTATTTGATATTTTGTTTTTGCAGCTTTTTTTGTGTGTGTGCATGTGTGTGGGCCAATGTTCGTCACTTTCAATGTATCTAAATGACCCAAATAGTAGAATGATTATATTATTATCAGCATTTAAATTCTACTTCACATCAAATTCCCTCAGGTTTTCCGCCACAACGACGCGCAAGACCTGGAGAAGAAGCTGCGTGAGGCAATAATCTATGGGCACCCTAGGACCCGGCGCCCTTGGAAGAAAGCAATGATTGTGGTGGAGGGCATTTACTCCATGGAAGGTTCTATCTGTGATCTCCCTAATTTTATCAGAATAAAAAAGAAGTACAAGGTATAGTATCTACTTGCTTTATTTTTTTTAGCACTTCACTACTTGCTTTTGTACATGATCTGTATTGACTTTAGGAAGTATACTTTATTCAGATATTGCTTGTTATATGTCTGTTCGAAGAGTTTTGAATTTGGAAACTAAACCGATTTAACAACGGGAATAATGACTTCTCTGCTGTTAGAGGGGGGTTTTGAACACTTGACAACTAGGAAGAGAACAGGCATTGATTATACAAGTATTTTACTATCCTCTGCTTACCTAAAATATGGCCATGAATACAATTCATTTGTTTGGATATAGACATCACTGACCCTGGGTATTTCTGGCAATAGTCCTGCCGTTTGGCCCAGCAGTCCACTTGACTCACTCTAATGTGTCACAACGCCTATAGCCATACGTGATGAGTCAGTTTCTTATGACGGCTATAGACGTGACCCGGGTGATAAGGGGTAAACAAGGTATTATGATAACTCATTTAACCTAATGCCAACGGGTATAACGTGTACGCATGTGCTATACCCACTGTGAGTACTTGTTTGATTGTTTTTACACATAGATGGCTACACTTGTATTAAGTCACCAATGAGCCAGTTACGAGTACCGCTTCTCTTGCCCATTTACCCTTTCCTTTGATTTACAAAATATTTTATTTTGTTGTTACTAATGTAAAAAAAAAAATTATAATAATTATAATGTTTATAATAAAAATAACCATCGATATTCATAGTACTAGTAAAAAATACTTTTCCCACCTTTTCAAATCAGGTACGGTCACAAGGTCTACTAATTGACTCCTTTGTGGCTAAGCACTAGCAGAGCCATCAATGGGCAGATATTTCACAAAAAAAAAAAGTAAAGTAAATAGGCACAGCATTTTTCCCCCTTTTTGTTCCTTTTCCCCGACGGCATTGGGTTAAACGCCACTAATCCAAATCCATTTTTCTGCACCCCAAGACTTACCTCTATGTCGATGAAGCTCACAGCATCGGTGCCTTAGGTCCTCACGGTGGTGGTGTCGTAGATTATTTCGGTGCCGACCCCAAGGATGTTGATATTCACATGGGAACGTTCACGAAGAGCTTTGGTGCTGCTGGAGGATACATTGCTGGATCAAAGGTGAGAAAGCAAGTCTTTTAGCTGCTCTGTTAGATTTAACTTTCTACTTGATTTCAGAGCACCTGCCTTATTGTCTTGTTTATCCTTCTTCCTCGTTTCTTCTTCATTCTGCCTTCATTCATCATCATTTACCAAGGCTTGAATAAATGTCATGAAAAATTTCTATTCTGACTACTTATTGAAGAAATCTCTTTAGGCATCTTTACCTGAGATACAAAATGAGGCAAATAATAAGACTCTTTTAACATCTTGAACTAGACCATTTATTATTTTCCCCCTTCAGAAGCCCCGTAGGTGCACACGGATAGCATTTTTGTAACCTGAGCTTTTTCTCTCAGTGACTATGGATATCCTTAATTATGTCCCCTGTTGTATCTCTCTCCTCAGGATTTGATCAATCACTTGAGAGTCACTAGTCATGCGCAGATCTATGCAGCCTCCATGTCTCCTCCAGTTGCAGAGCAGATTATCACATCCATGGCTACCATCATGGGCAAACAAGGAAATGGCGAAGGTTTGTGTGATTGTGTTGTCTGGAGGCAGTTTTATATTAACAGCTGTGTGCAGATACTGCCATACAGGCGTATGTAAAGTTGTTCACAGATATAAACCTGCACATGTGTCCACCAGGGTCTGCATACACCCATACACTCACAAACCCACACATCCCACCCATTCACTCACTCACCCTATCACTCCTTCACCTGCCCATTCACTCACTCACTCACTCTCAGGTTTTATTGTCATCCTATGATAGCATTAGTTGTTGAAGTGTGTAATTTAGTAATTGTTTCAGTTAATATATTAACCCCTTGGATCTGGTTGTGTCACAGCAATCACATGACCATAAATCTGGCATCAGGTTTACGTGAGCGGCTAATTTGCTGGGTGCGCAACCTGTAAGCTTTACACACATGAACACGTGTGGTAACAATTCTCTCTGCTTCCTATTTGCAATTCTATTTCCTCTTTTTATACATAAGTTTTTTTATTTATTTTTATTTTTTTTTATTTTTATTTTTATTTTTTTTTTATTTTTTTTATTTTTTTTATTTTTTGGTTATACTGTTTTTTCAATGTCTATACTTGCTGTTTGATTTGCATTATCCAGATGGTAAAAGACTGTTTTCTTTGCACAAAAACAGACTCCATCTCATCTCTCAGCAGTCTACAACTCGGTGCAAGGAAAATTGAAATATGTAACACTTTGTTGTATGTAATTTTGATTTTTTAATTTAATTTTATTTTTTATTTGTTGTTGTTATTTATTTATTATTATTATTTATTTATCAATATTGAATTTTCTGTAATACAACCTGCATCACCAGTCATGCCACCAGGAATATGGTGCTGAGCATGGAAATGGCATCCTCCTTGGAGCCAGAGCTCTTCCAGCCATGGCTCACGGACATTACATTCCACTCTCGTACATAGATGGCAATAAAGCAAAATTGCCAAATGAGTTTAATCAACCTCCCAAGAGGTTTGTGAACTCATGGGGAGTCTTTCCTATCACCCCAGCCTTCAGCCGAAACGCTCACGGAAGCAGGGTTGCGATACCCGGCCTGCAGCCAGATTTTCCCATGGGGCATGTTCATGTGACACCCCACGAGCCAGATTTTCTCGTGAGGTGTTGGTCGCGTCACCCGGATCGAAGGGGTTAAAGAGCTTTGATAGGCTGTTATCTTCAATACCTAAAATACAGATAATTATTTTGTGTCTAGTTATTATTAATTCAAATTACTTTTTATATTATTTAAAATGCAAGACAGTGATAGTAGATTCTTCAGAAACATATTTCGAATTTTAGCATGGAAAGTATATAATTTGATGCATAAATTTTATTCTATATATATATATGTATAAGTATTGTGTTAGCAAATGAAATGAAAAAAATTAATAAAAAAAAATTGTATTAGGAGCTAAAAGGTCATTATTAATGTATTCCAATAAATGTAAGTGCCAGATGGTTCTGTGTAAGTTTTATCCCATGAGAGGCCATTGAGTTAGGGTTTGAGTTGTCAGGTTTTCTTTTTATTAGTTGGTTTATTTATCAGTTTCATGTTATAGCAGTATGTGACTCTGTCAACAATGTTCTATGAACAACATCAGTTGGATTATTGTTTCTCAAAAAGTTCCTTTGGGCTCTTGACTCTTCCATTTCCCTTCCCTTTCGTTCTCTCCTCTCGTCTCCTCACTTCTCTCTTCTTTTCCATTCCTTTCTACTCTCTCTCCTCAGTCCTTACCTTATGCATATCTCCCCCTTTTCCTCAGTACTCCCTGCTTCAGTGTTAGAGTATGTATGCACTGGCACATGTACATTCTTTAGTATATGTGTGTGTATGTGTGTGTGCGCGTGTGTGTGGTGTGTGTGTGTGTGTGTGTGTGTGTGTGTGTGTGTGTGTGTGTGTGTGTGTGTGTGTGTGTGTGTGTGTGTGTGTGTGTGTGTGTCTCTCTCTCTCTCTCTCTCTCTCTCTCTCTCTCTCTCTCTCTCTCTCTCTCTCTCTCTCTCTCTCTCTCTCTCTCTCTCTCCCCCTCCCTCCCTCCCTCCCTCCCTCCCTCCCTCCCTTTCCCTCTCCCTCCCTCTCCCTCCCTCTCCCTCTTTCTATCTTTTTCTCTCTGTCTCTACATCTCTGTCTCATTTTCTTAATCTTTTTCTACTACATCTTTTACTATTACTTAAATAGTATATTTTTAAGGTATATCATAAAAGGTATAGTTGTAAGTCTATATATTTATTCATATATACATGCTGCTTTTCTTAACAGTTTTCTTCCATGATTTCCATTTTCTACATTTTTGTTGCTAATTTCATATTCTTTCCCAGATGACCCAGGGTTTCTTTAAATTTTATATCTGACTTATGGTTTTCTTTTGATTTTAAAAGACTATAACTTTGGCCATGATTGTTTAATGTTAAATTTTAACTTCATTTTATCATTACAATTGTTAAAGTTGATGGTAATTATAACATTTGATTTGATGATGATCAGTGTGATGTATTACTACTTTTT